AAACGAGAAAACAGCATCTGAACGTGATTGCCCTCAGATTCACATGACTCGGTGCAGAAGTGAAGCCAAATACATTATTCAAAAAAAGAAAAAAAAAAAAAGAAAGAAAAGCAATGATCTCTCTTTTTTTTTTCCACTTTTGTTTTCTTTTTTGTCTTCTTTTCCCTCTTTCCTGCCACTGCCCACGCGTTTCCACATTGTATACCACAAGGACATCTTGCAGTCCTTGTGGGAGGTTCCCATGGGGCCACCAGCTTCCTGGCCCGTTGCCATGCCAAGCCTCTCCCGGCCCCCTAAAGTTGCGGCGCGTTAACGGCCGCGACTTTTTTTTTATAGCTGGGCGAGGTACTGGTGGTTTAAAGCATTTAAAGGGGTGTGATATAATTTCATGTTCTGTTTTTTTTTTTTTTTTTTTCAAATTCAATAACGAATTTCTGGGTGACCCCCTCCGCCAGAAGTTGTTTGATTTGCCATCCAGCATAACCTTTTTTTTTTTTTTTTTTTTTGCACCGGGCCTGTCCGGGACCTTGACCGGGACTTTGCCTGGACCTAGCCCGGCCGGGCCACCAAGGCCAGTGTGAGGCAACCCAGGCAGCCCGGCTGGTAGCCTAGCTGTATAGTACAATAGTACATGGAAAAGAAATAGTACACGGCGATAATTTTCTCCACAGAAACAGGAAGATCGACAAAAACGACAACAACAACGATCACCACCACCACCACCACAACAACAACAACAACAACAACCAAGAAAGAACATAAAGCATTTTATTGTTTACCTGTCCTTCATGGCCTTGGCAATCGATCTGGCTACACTGACAAGGTTTCTTGACATGAACAGAATACTGCAGCAGCAGTAGGAAAACAAAAAAAGACCAAAGTCGCATACATAACAGGAGGAGCAGGCACAGCAAATTACAAAAAAGTTGGAAAAAGTCAATTTTACAAATTTCTGTTAGTTGAGGGGAGAGCACGACTTTGAAATAACAATTTTGTATTTTACTATTTTCAATTTTGACTATAACCAGTTTTTTTCAGAGGGTAGATACGCAACAGGAGCAGCAGGCGCAGGCAGGCAGAATGAATGACAAAAACGGTCTCACACACAACTAGAGCACTGAAAACCAGGAACAGCATCCCTACGTACTGAGTGTGTATACCTACTTCTGCAGTATATCTAGTGCTGATATACTGCAGGAGTAGGTATGCACACTCAGTACGTACTAGGCAGGGATGCTGCACCTGCTTTTCAGCAATTAATAAAAAGTTGTCCTTTTTTTTTTTTTTTTGGCAGCTCAAAGGCTAATATTACCAATAAACAGATTGAGGCCGGGGTCCTCACAGTCTGCCCGGAGTGATCGAATCTGACTTGCTGAGAACTGGGCTCAGCGTCCCTCAACTGATGATGCTAATGATTATGATGATGAATGATGAATGATGATGTAGCTACTGATAATGATAATTAGTAAAAAAGAACTATGCTATATCAACCCTTCTGGCTTCCTAATCCTAGATCACCTCCTAACCCCCCCTGTTGTAACTTAGAGACAGTACCAACCCAAACGATGTCACCAACAGCTGATCTCTTCTCGCCTCATAGCAGCCCCCCCCGGTTTGCCACTGGATTGCCTTCCACCCTCGACAACCCCCAGATCTCTCTACAAGGCCTCATGCTCCTGCCATTACAGGTTACAGGGCAAAACCCCAGCTCCGGCCAGCGTCGTTCTGGCATCAGCAGACCAAGGGCACAGAACAGAACAACTCTGTAGATATCAGTCTCAGGATCGGCCATCTCTAAATTCCTATCTCCCAGATGCAGAAGGAGGCTAGATATTGCCCAAAATCCAGAATACCAGAATGATTAATATGAAATAAAGATACTGATTATGCTAAAGATGGTGATAATGCTAAATTACTAYGATTACTAYGATGATGCTTATGATTATTAGTATGTAAGAAGACTRGAAAATTATSCTGAATCAGCACTTCTGGCCTCCTAATCCCATAACACCCCCTAGCCTTTCCTGTATCAAGACATTACACCTCAGAGACAATTCCTTCCAACCAATGTCAACCAGAGCTGACCTGTTCTCGCCACCTAGACTATCCCTGGCTCCCTAGGATATCCAGGCAGCCCCCCCGGTTCGCTCTTGGATTGACTTCCTCCCTCAGCAAATCCCAGATCTCTCTACAAGGCCTCACACTCCTGTCAATTACAGGTTACAGGGCCACGCCCCAGCTCCGGCCAGCGTCGTTCTGGTATAGGCAAACAGAGGCACAGAACAAATCAACTCAGCAGCTATTGATCAGATTCGATTGTCTCTGAGATCATATATCCGAATGAGGAAGAGGCCAGAAGCCACCAAGGATTTCAGAACCCAAAAGCATGATATAACGCAGATGATAATGATATTAACCTAAACTTAGTCACCCCCCTCCCATCCATTCCTCCCTATCCCTATGCTGCCTCCGCTGAAACGGATTACCCCTACAGGCAGCCCATCACAGCCCCAGCATGGGACAGTACGACCTTCCTCCCCCACTTCCCAGAAGAGCATACAGTCCCCACCCAAAGTATACCCCTGCACACCCTTTACCTTAATCTGCCCCCGTTGGTATGAGTATTCTCACCACCAACCCCAGAAAAAGGCAACCCACAAACTCTTCCCACACCCCCTCCAGGGCTTCACCACCCACCTTGTGACGCCCCTGTAGAGTGAAGCTCCCCCCTATTCTCCACCTTCCATTCCTCAAAATTATTCGCCGATACAAAGAGAGGAGACAACTAGTATTTCGCCCAAAAAAAAAACTGATAAAAGGAAAAAATTCCGAATGATTTTCGAATGATTTTTTAAGAGGAAAGGAATACAGAATCAGAGACTTTGAAATTATACTTGACCAAGAGAAAAAACGGATGTATTTAAATAGGAATTAAAATACGACCAAGAATGCTTGCGACTATATTTACTAGGAATTTCACGAAGGTTTTTAGGTATGTAAAGGACCTTTTATGTTAATTAGTAGTAAAAAAATTCTTGAATAATAAAAAGTTGTCCTATCATTAAAAAAATAAAAAAAATAACCCCATAAGTTGAGATAATTTGCAAAATACCCCCATAAGTTGAGATATATGCCAAAATGCCCCTAAAAGATGTGGTTAGAGCAGAATGCCCTTTTGGGCCGAAATTTTTGTGTTGTGCCTCTGTCAGCCGGGTGTGCAACTTTGCAATCTGGACCTCCCCGTTTGGGCCTTGGCCTTTTGCAATAGCGCCTAGGAAAAGTTGGCAAGTACTGGGGCATATTGCAAAGTTGGACGATATCCGGTAGGGGTATATTGCAAAGATTGGGGCCCAACCGAGTTGAACCGACACCAGGGGTTTTTCAAAATATCTTTTTTTTGTCAGAGGGGCATTCCGCTCTACCCACATCTTTTAGGGGCATTTTGGCACATATCTCAACTTACGAGGGTATTCTGCAAATTATCCCTTAATTATTAGAACAACAAAAAAAAAAAACGGTATGTCATTTCTCCCATATTACGGATCTGAGTTCCATTTATCAAGTTAATGACCTGGGTTCTCCTCGCTCACATTGTTCATCGTCCGCTCCCTTGTTCTCCCCCCCCCCCCAAAAAAAAAGAAAAGAAAAAAAATCATAAACGACCCACCCTGTGACGGGAGGTGAGTTGCCTCCACCGTAGGCCGTCTTCCAAGCTAATAAAGCTATGGGTGACATAGTGAGTGGAATTTTTTTTTTAGTTAATAATAAGAGGGGGTGGCATTTGAAAAAGAGATAGTAATAAATACTAATAATTCAACTGCAAAGCAAATGCCACATAGTCTGTCCGACTCTGTCGAAGTTGTTTTTCAAAACAAAGGGGTGGCGATTTCGGAGTTAAAAAACAGAGTTACAGACATAAGGAATTGGAAAAAAAGTTACAAAAAGTGAGAAAAACCCTTTGTAAGGACATGTTAGAAGGGGGCTGTGCAGCGCTACCGGGAGCGCTGCGCCCGCCCGGGCCGGAACGACGGGTGTACCAAAGCGCGTTGAGACGTAAAGCTGCGATAACGCTTTCACGAGGGCACGGCGGGTCAATATTCTGTGTGGCGATGGCGCTTCTTAGACTCTTCTGTGGATGTGGAGACAAGAGGGGTGTGTGGTTTGAGGGGCGTGTGGTTTGAGTGGCCGTGTGGGGGCGGGGGGGGTGTGCCACGTGGCATAGGGTTATAATGCCACTCCTGTCCTCTGTGTTTAATCTTTGTCTCTCGCTTCTCCGGTTCTTTGCTGTCATGGGTCTTTGGATCTGGACTGAATTCTCTGTGAAAGCTGTGTTGGCAGGCTTGACATGGTCATTCACAACGCAACCGCGTTCGGGGAGTAAAAGGGAGGCGGGGGCGTCCCAATAATCTCTTCTGGTTGGTGCACTTTGCCGTAAGGCTATACTAGCACCGAGTGTGGGGAGGAGGAGTGGCTCCTTCTATAGGAAGAGGCAGGGACTGAGTTTGGTCTGGGCAGCGGTCGGGCAGCTGGATAAGGGGACTACGGGAGCGGAGCGGTGCGTGATGATCTGCAGTGATTGGTGATTTCAGGTGAAGTTCAAGGCGGCATCACGTAGCGATGGAAGCTCTGAGTGCAACATTTTTCAGAATTTAACCCTAAAGTATTACTCCGTTAGATGATTTGATGGTTAGGGATGTCTCATTGCTGTTTTGATATTTCTTGATATTTTCCGATCTCGACATCCGACGGAAGGTCTGTAAATTTGATTTTTCAATCATTTTTGTCTGATTCTCAATTCGTAATTTCCTTTTTTCATAAAGTTCTGTACTCATATAACCATCTAAATTAGTCTTCATATTACAACATCTTGTAAATTTTCTGACCTACTTTCTGTCTCAAATTCCCAAAAAACAATTCTAGTCGGATATTCTAATTCGTAAAATTTTTATACTTGCTGGCAGAAAATTCATAGTTATACTCTGATGTTGATTTTCAAACAACCTATCGAAAGTCCTTTTTGGATATCCTATTCGTAAATGCTAAAAATAGTTCATATACGTTTTCTAAATTTCGTCGTAGATCGATTTTCTGAATTGTCATGATTCGATTTTCTAATTTGTCAATGATTCGTGATGAATTCTGCTTGACATGATTTTCCATGTTCCATTTAGTTTTTTCTGATAAGGCTTCTGTTACATGCCCAGTCGGGCACTGAGAGTTCAGCCAAGGATCCGCATTGTGATGAAAAGGACTGAATGGACAGTGGACTGCTAACGTAATATCAACAGACAGTGTACATCCTGATACATGAACAATGACATTTAATAGCACAACGGAAGAGTTGGAGATAAGTCCTGACCTGACCTGGACTGTTACGACATCCCATCATACGTCACACATGTGAGAGGGAGGGAAGGGACCGCATACATAGACGAAGGTCCCTCCTGCATACACGCACATGGGGAGATACCATGGATGAGAGATGGAGGGGGGAAGGAAGGACGAAGATGGAGGCAAGGGAGAAGACTAAGATCGCAATAGCGAAGTTCAAAATAGTCCCTTGCCGAAGTCCAACCAAATGTCTGCCCAAAAATGTCGAACCAGATCCTGGGCCAATGCCTGTGACAACCCCTACCTGTAGCCCTGCAAGTAAACCACTCTCACTCTCGTAGGCTGCCGAAGCAGTGAAGTCAGATAGTGAGAGGGTAGGAGAGAGATGGTGGACTGAGAGGAGGAAGAGGAAGAATTCTCTCTCTCTCTTCTGGATGCCAGGTACTAACCGATGATGGTGGCGCTGTGCTGCAGGTACCTCGCTGGCGAGCTGGAGCTATGGCGCCTCAGGTAAGTCACTCGGTGAGTGGCGCTCTGCTGCAGGTACCTCAAGGACGAAGCTGGAGCTATGGCGCCACAGGTAAGCATCCCTGGCCTCCGCCAGCCTCCTCTCTCCACTACTCTGGTCTACTGCTACTAGCGCCCAAYGCTGAAGACTACTGCTAACGCTACTCTACTACTGCAGCCGAATCCTGAAGACTACTGCCTCCTGTAGAAGTGCACGTTGAGTGCCTGGGCAGTCTCCTCTCGTCTGTCCCAACCTGTAGGGCGGGCCAGTCTTATATAGGGTTGGCCCATCCAGGAGGCTGCTCTTGCCAATGCCTGCAYGTGCTAGCCCCTGAGGAAGCTTCAGGGCAGGTCACTCCTGCCAATGCCTGGACGTGCTAGCCCCTGAGGAAGCTTCCGGGCAGGTCACTCTTCCTCATGCCCGGCTGTGCTTGTTTCAGGGAAGGTCGGTCTGACGAGGGCCCGAGAATAGCCCTCAGTTTCAGGCTAAGAAGGCTCAGGCCTTTTTTTTAGGCTGAAACAATGCAGGGGCCCTGGGCCCCGGATGTAAGGCTTTTGGGTTGAACCGTCATGGGGCCAGTAGGCCTGGAAATAGCCCTCATTTTCAGGCTGAAAAGGCTCAAGCCTTTTTTAGGCTGAAACGATGCAGGGCCTGTGGGCCCCGGATGTCAGGCTTTCGAGCTGAACTGTCATGGGGTCTGCAGGCCCGGGAATAGCGCTCAGTTTCAGGCTGAAAAGGCTCAGGCTTTTTTTTGGCTAAAACGATGCAGGTCCTGTGGGCCCCGGATGTCCGGCTTTTGGGCTGAACCGTCCTGGGGTCTGCAGGCCCTTATTTCCAGGCCTTGAGCCTGAAATTCAGGCTTCCAGCCTGAACGACGCAATGCCTGGAAAATGGCCCTCGTGTGCAGACGCAGCATGTAACACCCCCCCCTCCTTATGAAGTCAAGCCGGGTCAGGGGCGCAGCCGACGATCTGAAGGTGGAACCTGGACGCGGTTGCGGCGTGGAGCCGAAGATGCCGGCTTGCCTTGCATCTTTCGTTCATACCGTACGAGAACATCTGGAGCTGTCGCTTGGCGTTCCGCACGGGTCAACCAGCGGTCGGCTCGGTGGGTGCAATATGCAAAGTGTACCATATACTCGGTCGGCTTGTTGCCGTAGCGTCGCTGGGAAATGATGTCACTGACCTCCTGAAAGCCGTCCATAGAGGGTGGGTCTTGAGATCGTCGCCCGAAAAAGTCATCCTGGTCTGCTGGTGTGTACAACACCAACTTGAAGCAATGGAAAACCGGGTAGACGGGTAAGTGGGCGGGCACCTGAACTGTGAAGGACGGTCCCTCAGGTGCATCCCCAGCAGGTGCTACAATCGGCCATGGGCCCATCCATTTCGGGAGGAGCTTGCGAGAGATATCCTGCTCAAGGCTGAATTCCGCGGCGGAAACCCACACGAGGTCGCCGGCGCGAAATGGACAAGGAAGACGCTGGCGATTGGCCTGCTGGCTCATGCGTTGCTGCGTCTTTGCCATCTGATTGCGTGCCTTGACAAGAAGCTCTTGCATCCGGCGCAAGAAAAGGAGATGGTCGTCGCTCTCGGCCGTGCGTGGAACGATGGTGTCCAGCGGAGAAGTGGGCGGAGAGCCATGCTCAAACTCGAAAGGTGACATCCCGATAGTCGGGTGGATGGACGAATTGTAGGCCAATTCGACATCCGGCAACCGCTCAACCCAATCCTTCTGATCGGGACGAATGAGAGTGCGAAGAAGAACCTGTGCCGTCTGGTGCGCCCTCTCCGTCTGACCATCCGTGTGAGGGTGGCGAGCTGAACTAGGCTTGAGAGAAGAGCCCCATCGTTTGGTGAGTGCCAACCAAAACTCAAACATGAACCGAGTGTCGCGGTCGCAGACGATTTCCTTGGGGTAACCCTTGGTTCGAATCCAACCGGCGTAGAGAACCTCGGCCAATTCTGGTGCCTTGGCATGATAGCGACAAGGCAAAAACATGGCAAACTTGGTGAGTCGATCGACTACCGTGAGAATCCCATCCACACCGGTCTTGTGCTTGGGGAATGGTCCAGTGATATCCATGGCAATCGCCTCCCGTCGGCGCAAGGGAACCGGTAGTGGTCGCAACTCGCCATACGGACGATGATTGCGGGATTTGCAACGCCGACAAATCTCACATGACTCGCAGTAGCGTGTGACGTCGTCAAGAAGACCGGGCCACCAAAATCGCTCGCGAAGTCGGTCAATCGTTCGATTGACGCCAAAATGTCTGGTGGCGGGAGCATCGTGGAACTCGCCAAGAAGCCGCGTACGCAAGTAAGGGTCACTCGGTACGCAAAGAAGATCCTTCCCCCGCGAGTGGACGAGCAAATATCCCTCATGGATCCGGTAGTGAGAAGGTGCCAGATTGGGTGAGGAACAATTCACGTACTTGTCGCGAAACTCGGGGTCGGCCTGGTAGCCGCGAATGAAACTGTCTTGCAAGTCGTCATCAATCTTGAACGTCGAGTAGACCGCGGTGCAATGGTCCGGACGCCGTGAGAGAGCATCCGCAAAACGGTTCGACTTGCCCGGAATGTGATCGGGGAAAAAGTCAAACTGGTCAATGAATGCCATCCAGCGGGCAATGGTGTTGTTGACTGTGTCCTAGGTCTTGCAAAAGACCAACGGGTTGTTGTCCGTTACCCATCGGAACTGCCGTTGACCGAGAAGGAAATGCCGCCAGCGCTTGAGTGCGTGTACGGATGCCAATAACTCCTTCTTTCGTGCATCATCAATAGAGTGCACGGCGGGCACTTCCTTGCTGAAATACTCGACCGGGTGCCAGTCCACGCCATCGTGTTGTTCGAGGACTGCACCAATGCCATAGCCGGATGCATCAGTAGTGACGCGTGTGGGCAATAGCGGGTCGTAGATCCGCAAGACCTCCGTTGAGAAAAGTGCAGCTTTAAGAGCCAAGAAGGATTCCCGCGCATCCTCGTCGAAGTCAAACGGCCGATCCTCACATTGAAGCTTGGTCAAATGGGCCGCGATCTTCGAATAGCCCTTGATGAAGCGCTGATAGTAGCCGGCAAGACCAAGAAACGAACGGACATCCGTGACGTTACGCGGCTCCGGCCACGCCTGGATGGCTTGGATTTTCTCTGATAGGGGGCTGATGCCCTCCGGTGTGACAAAATGACCCAAGTACTCAAGCTCTTGCCGGACGAACTCACACTTGTCGCGGTTGGCTTTGTACTTGGCACGGCGGAGCGTCTCCAACACTCGTCGAAGATGCTCAAGATGATCCTCCAAGGTCCGACTATAGATGAGAATGTCGTCTAAGTAGACCAGCACAAACCGATCCAACATCGCACGAAACTCATTGGTCATTGCCGCTTGGAAGGTTGTCCGGGCATTGGTGAGGCCAAAAGGCATGACCACCCACTCAAAATGCCCATACCGTGTCTTGAATGCGGTTTTGTAGCAATCATTCGGGCATATCGAAATTTGATGATACCCCGACTTCAAGTCCAACTTGGAAAAGAACTTAGCACCGCCCAGTCGCTCAAGAATATCGTCGATACGAGGAAGAGGCCCCGCATTTTTCACAGTTTGCGCGTTGAGCTTGCAGTAGTCGATGCACAGACGTAGATCCTTGTTCTTCTTCCTTACGAAGAGAACTGGTGCTCCATATGGAGAGCAACTAGGGCGGATCCAGCCCTTGGCCAACAAGTCGTCGAGTTGTGCGCGAAGGACCTCCAGTTCCTCCTCGCTCATCCGATAGATGCAACCTTTCGGCGGCATGGCACCGGCCTCAAGAATGATCTCGTGAGAGATCGGCCGATCCGGCACCACACCGGTAGGTGACTCGAAGATGTCGGCGAACTCATCAAGCAGCCGTACCACGTGGGGGTCCGAAGACAAGTCCGATGGTGAAGAGTCGGCTACCGCGCTAGTCCGCAAGAAACATAGGCCTATCTCTTTGGGTTGCTCATATGCACATGTAGTTCGGAACGATTTGGCCGTTACGACTTGACACCGGATCGAAGGGTGCGGAAGAGGAATAGTACACGGCACCTCGGCGCCGAAGGCGTCGCGAACGGTGAGAGTCCGCTGGTGAAAGTTGACTGTGTGATCCACACTTGCAAGCCAAGGCATTCCCAGAATGATATCGAAGTCCGTGTCCAAGATGTCGAACGTGACCGGTTCGCATGCATGAGGTGCGAAGTACACCGGTACGGCCTCGATGTAACGGTCGAGAAGTTGCTGCGTCTTTCCATCCGCCAACTTGATCGCCGTCGGGTTTGCCTTCCTCCGAACCTGCGCGCCGAGGCCAGCCCTTTGCATAAAAGCTTGGCTCATGAAGTTGCGAGTCGCGCCGCTATCCAGCAAAGCGCTGCAGGACGCCTGCCCAACTTGGATGCGGACATACATCAGCGGTGCATTATTGTCGTCGTACCGCTGCGTGCGAAACTCGCGGGCCACCTTGGTAACATATGCCAAGATGTCCCCCACCGCGACCTCGTCATCCGTTAGCGAAGTTGGTGGTGCATAGAAGGACAAGTACTTGTGAAGATGGGCACAGAGTGCTGCGCATTGCGGTCCCGGTAAGCAGCCCGTGGTCGGGAGAGGAAGCCATGCGAAATCCCCAGACTTGAGCGGGTCCAATTCCTCTATGTTGAACCCACGCGCCGAATCCCGTGAAGAACCACTTGAAGACGAAGAAGAACCGTTGTTAGACGGAGAAGATGCCGCACACACGTCTTGTCCTTGAGCAAAAGATCCCAGCGCCGGAACGAGCCGGGCAGCATAGTCCTCAAAAGAATAGAGAAGAGGACTGTCAACTTCCGCATGCGCCCCGGAATGAAGGCCGGTCACTCGCGAAGAAACCGGTTCCGAAGGCGTCGAGAGTGTTGTCGACTCACTCTCGGCGGCGCTCAGTTTCCCTGCTTGCCCTTCCCCTTGGTAGGGCAGCCCGCTGTCTCGTGGCAGTCGCTGTTGCACCACATGCAGTAACGGTACTTCGTGCGTTGCTTGTAAGCTTGCTCCGAAAGACCGTAGGGGGTCCAGGGCCCCTGAGCTGTTGCGCCGGGCCCGGGGTTTGATGTGGTGTTTGTCTTCGATTTGCCGCGTCCTCGGCCTCGGCCGGGGCGGCCACCATCCCGGGCAGCTGCGAGTCTGTCTCCTTCATTGGCAGACTCCGCCTCGCTAGATTGGCTGCTTGGCGATGCCGCCACAACCACGACCACCTTGGGACGATGCTGGTCCTTGGTCGGGCCTGCCGCAGCACGAGTGAGGTTCTTCGCCTCCTTGTTCGTGATGATAATCTGTGCGGCCTTGTCGAACAGTTGCGCCATCGTTGTCAGTGTGTCCTCGACATGCGTCAAGGCGTTTCTCAACGCCGGGCACGACCTCGAAATGATGTCGTGCTTGATGGCTTTGAAGCCCATCGGGAGACCTGGGACGGATGTCAAGCGTTGGTACTCGGCAATCCAGTCGACGCTTGGCAGCGAGCCTTGCTCGAAGGTCATGAGCTTGTCCATGGCCTTGATCTCCGACGGCTCCACTTGGAACCGCTTGTGCCACGCCGCCTTGAGGTCTTCCCAACTGATCTTCGTGTGTAACTCGGCAGCGACCACCCCGTACTGGGACAAGAGATTGTCCAGCCATGCCTGGCATGCGCCTCCTGACCGGGAGTATAAGTACGCGTGGTGCTTGCACTCGCTGACGAGGTGCAGCTGCAACGTGAGTTCAAACTTGCGGAACCACTGAATTGGATCCGTCTTTGTTAAATCGCAGAAGATCTCCTGACCGTCAAACTTGGGAGTTGACTCGCGCTGTCCCGAACTCGGGCTGGCGGCGGCAGCACAGACCCGCTGCTCCAATTGTTGAGTAGCGGTTTGTTGTAGTCGTGCGCCGTCCTTGAGTGTGCTGACGTCACTCTCCAATGCGTCCAGGCGGTCTGATGTGTTGGAGGAGCTTGCCACAGGGGCGGCGGCTGGTCGTTGCTCCAACTGCTGTATGCGGCTGCGAACACTCTTGACTTCGGCATCGAGGCTGTGAATGTCCTCCTGCTGCGCGATGCATGTCGCCAGGAGGTCCGTGAGATGGGAGAGGAGGAGGGCAATCTTGGTCTCGCTCTTCTCCATCTTCCTTGTCTCCGCCTCAGTTCGCCATTCCGCTGCCAATGTGAGTAATGCTTGCTCCCCGCTGAAAATCTTCTCACGCCGCTTCAATTGTTCTTCATCTGCAGCCTTCGCTGCTGCCTCGGCCTGCAGACGCTCCTGTTCAAGAGCTAGCAGTCGTGCCTGCTCGACATCCTCCGCCTTCTTCTTCTCTGCGGCTGCTACTGCATCCGCCCGCTGCTTGGCTTCTATGATCAAAGCTAGCATGCGGTCCTGATATGCCTCCGCCGTTTCCCCCGGTTTCTGGTCCATGACGGCTGTCTGCGAGCGCGTCAGCATAAATAGGCCCGGGTGGCTGACGTGGCACTCCCTGTTGACGTGGCCTGCTGATGTGGTCTGCTGACGTGGTCTGCTGACGTGGTCTGCTGACGTGGCAACTTACCAATGCCACCACAGGGAATATCCGGAATGGATGAAGAAGATGAGATCAGAGATGGCAAACAACGTAGATAGGG